GATTCTGTTGTCACAATGTCATGCAGTAGATATCAGAGAATCATTATTTACCTGTTTTACCAAACTTTTACCATATTTTTTTTTTGGACTTTTCGCCAGCTTTTCGGGTATAATACTCCACTGTGTGCCACCTACCCCGCAGTCGAGCGACAAGCGGTGAACATCCCCTCGCAGGAAAGCTAGCTCGGAGCCAAAAATAGTGAGTTCAGCACCCAGCCCAAAAAATAGAAAACAGCTTGACTTTGACCAAGCGTCAACTTCCTTTCAATCTGTTAGCACAATCAAAACTCAAAGTCCTCATCAGTCATCCGTTGAATCGTTCAATTTGCAAGCGAAAGCGTAGATCAAGACACTCATCAGATATCCATTAAATCTTCTCGTCAGAAAGCACCAATGTAAATCATGATGATTCATCAGATGGATCAAAAGTCGACCTCACTGCCCCCAATTTTACTTAAAATTGTGACAGGACAAGCCCCAAACTGGGTCAAGCAGTATGAATTAAACCTGGCTAGTGAGAAAGATTTGAAGGAATCTAGAGAATTCCTTCAAGGTTTGCTGAGGAAAAGTGAGGAGGGAAAATATGTTTTGAAAGCTATTAAAAATGGCCAAGCGGCTATTGTATAAAAATGCTCATTTCTCTGTGTTCCAACTTCCCGCCAGAGGCTGCCGACCGCGCACCAGTCAGCGCACACCGACCAACAGTGGAGTCGTTGTTGTCCTGGCAAGTAGTGCGCAGAGTGTGAGACAAGGACCGGCCCAAGTGAGACTGTTTTCCGCAGAAGACTGAACCGTACGTAGTGCAAAGCCCCCCCCNCCACGGTAGTGAGACAAACACGAAGATCCACCTGACTGTCTATATTATTTCCTTTAAATCTCTATATAAATAGCTGATGCACTTTCTTTATTGTTTTTGCGTATGCTTCCCGCTCACTGATCCCCCCGAACCAGACCGCTGACATGAGCTACCGCACGAGGAGCCATGTTACAAATGAAGCTGTAAGAGACAATTTGTGTAAACTTTTGATATCATTTTCTATTCATATCAGTAATTCGGTTCAAATTCATGTTTGCTTTATTTCTCTATTTATAAATAGTTGGTGCAATTCGTCCAATGTTTTTGCGTATGCTTTCCGCTCACTGATCCCCCCGACCCAGACCGCTGACATGAGCTACTACGCGAGGAGCTCTGTTACAAATGAAGCTGTAAGAGACAATTTGTGCAAAATTTTGATATCATTTTCTATTCATACCAGTAATTCAGTTCAAATTTCCCCTCAGAAATTTAAGTTCTTTTCCCCCGTGCACAACTGCATAATTTACAGAGGAAAGAAAAAATACTTACTACGTCCTTGGTCAAGCGGGAAACAAAGTCGCAAAGAAAGTTGCACCGAAAGGCAAACTATATGCAAAGTTTGATACCTTGAGGAAAACTTTGAAGAAAAGTGGTATACTTGAGAAGCGTCAGTATTGTACTTCAAGGGAGCAGTCCACGCGCAAGATTGGGCCAAAGGTTAGTTCTTTTAAACCTATCAGTTTTCCTTAGCAGTCACTTATTCGCCGATGGAACCCTTGCATGTGTTAGGAATTTGCGATTTGAGTAATGACTCCCGTGCAAAGTTTAGCGAGAAATGCGATGGTGCCCCTGGTTCTCTCTCAAATTACCTTCGAAGCTCAAAAAAAGCTCTGCTAGTTGAGGCCGAAATGGAGGGGATATCATACGCTACCCTGAGAGCCAACCTCTACACCTAGTCAATTTCTTATTGCAAAGGTAGGAAGCAGATGCATTAGCGGGGTTGTCGTGTTTTCAGTTTTGGAGTCCTCAAATAAAGTATCAACTCTGTTGATGTAAGGTTTTGAGCCCTTTGTACATAACAAACGCTGGATCCGAAAAAGAAAAAAAACAAGTTCATATCCACTACGAATTCCCACTTCAATAAACTTGACAAAATGCAATTATAAAATCTTCATAGTGTCAAATTCGAATATTCCTCTGAATTCACAAGACGGAAAGTCTCTACAGCTCGCTCAAAGTCTTGTGACGCACATACGAATAAATCACCTCTAACTGCTCTGATATTATGAGCCACTTCAAGTCGATGAAACCTGGCGAGTCTGTATGATTTCCCGACGGAAACTGGCAACGCCTGCTCCTAGGCGCTTGGCGGAGCCTTCAAAGTTGTCAATTTCCCTTCCGGCTCAACAACACGATGACGGAAGGTGTAGGCGCAACTTTCGCAGATATTCCCGCCCCCTCCGCCGCTACTGGACGGAAACTGGCGAGCGCGGCCAATTATTCCGGACCCGAAAATCGCTCCACTCCCAACTTCGACGCGGTGGGGATCCCTCAAAAATTTCCAAGTTACATATACCCTACCGATGTGCATAGCAGCGCCGATGACAATGGAGCTTTCGTGGTAAAAGTTATGGGACGCGCTGCGCTGGTAAAGCTGCGTCACAGCGAGGGCGTATAAAAGAGGAGACAAAAACAAGAACGTTCAAAATCAAAAGTGCATATGTAATATACTGTACCCATCACCTGCAGCAATTAGGCTACGCACCTGAGAATACACAAACAGGCCGGAGTGGATAAAGCATATGCGTGCATGTACGAGGGGCGTTCAATAAGTAAGTATCCCCCCTCTCTAAAATCCATAAAAATGGACCAATTTTAAAAAAACTTGGGCTCAAAATCTTCCTTAGGATATTTTGAGTTCAACGAAACAAACCGCAACAAAATCGGACCATGTGCGGCCGAACGCGAGCCGTTTGAACGCGCCGAGGTGCTCGACGCTCCCGCCAAATCCGCGAGGATTTGAAGTCCGCTACAGGAGAAGAGCTTCTCTGCCAAAGCCTTAGTCGTTCATCACTGACGAGAAATCAAAGAAATTTTTGTAGAATAAGGGGCTTACCTCACTTCTCCACATAACCAGCTCGATCCAAGCAAGTCTGATACTGAGACTAAGACTAAGAGAACAGCTTTTGGATGCCTCGTGCGTGGAAGTCTTTCAGCTGACCGCGGATGAAAGAGTGGACGGCTTGTTTGACCTCTTCCACTGATTCAAAATTAACTCCTCCAATTTCAGATCTCAGGAACGGGAATAAATGGTGGTCTGGTTTGCTATTTATTATCGTATCTGAAATCTGAACTCGGAGGAGTTAATTTTGAATCAGTGGAAGAGGTCAAACAAGCCGTCCACTCTTTCATCCGCGGTCAGCTGAAAGACTTCCACGCACGAGGCATCCAAAAGCTGTTCTCTTAGTCTTAGTCTCAGTATCAGACTTGCTTGGATCGAGCTGGTTATGTGGAGAAGTGAGGTAAGCCCCGAATTCTACAAAAATTTCTTTAATTTTTCGTCAGTGATGAACGACTAAGGCTTTGGCAGAGAAGCTCTTCTCCTGTAGCGGACTTCAAATCCTCGCGGATTTGGCGGGAGCGTCGAGCACCTCGGCGCGTTCAAACGGCTCGCGTTCGGCCGCACATGGTCCGATTTTGTTGCGGTTTGTTTCGTTGAACTCAAAATATCCTAAGGAAGATTTTGAGCCCAAGTTTTTTTAAAATTGGTCCATTTTAATGGATTTTAGAGAGGGGGGATACTTACTTATTGAACGCCCCTCGTATTGAGTGAAAAAATTCAGACACAGTTTAACCTTGAGAGCCCACATCAGAATCCACACGAATGAGAAACCTTATCAGAGGGTATACAGGGTTAAAACTGGTAAAAATAACCTCTTAGTTTAAGAGTGCAGTTTCTTGTCGCCGGATTTAAGAGTCTGGACTCTTGTTTCAAGCAAATTTTGAATTGAATCAATGCAAATCCGCTTGAAACAAGATTTCAAGACTCTATTAAAGGATATATTCAAAAGTCACGCAGCACTGGCCATGAGGGGGGTGGCCATTGAGTTGCTCCCGCCCCCTCCCCCGGAGGGGATCAAAAACTGGAAAGTACCTAAAAAAGTTTCCCCTTCGATATGAGGAAAAACGTCTTACACCACAAGTCGATATCATAATTAGAACTAAAGTTATGGCCGGTGGTGCGTTACTGCGTTACTTTTGTGTATTTTAGTAGATATAGGATTTAGTAGAGGGATTTAGTGGGAAGCAGATTTAGGGTATAATTTAGTTGATTTTCCGGTATTTTCAAAAGCGAACAGTAGTGATAGTGCTTCAACATCTTCTTGGTGATTGAGGAGATTGGTTGTTTTCTCGCATCCTACCGGGCAGGTACCTCAAGCGAGAATAATTCAATTCCTCCGGACGATAAGAGCGTGCGGTGCTGTTTCCGAACATGTAACAACAGTGCCATACACACCTCAATTGGAACATGCGTGTAAGCGGACCGAATCGCTTCAGATTTCAGCCCGACATTCTTGGAGATCAGCACGTAGAAAGTCATCTTCCTCAGGAGTTTGTAAGGAACGTCACATCAATAATTCTTGAAATTCAGCCGGCGCCGAATTTCTTGGTATCCCGCGCGTGGTCTCTTACCTGCTGAAAATCGCCTTAGAAGAAATTCTCGAGTTCCAACAGATTTCTTGTCGGGATGATAGTAGTTCCATTGGGACTACGTGGATTCCGGTTCACTGGAAAAAAACACATTGGATCTAGAGTCCAGACTCTTAAAAACATCGACAAGAAAAAATACTCTTGATTCAATCAGATTTAAGCTTAAATCAAGAACCAAGCCTCTTAATTTGAACGGATTTCCTTTTGATTTAAGCTTAAATCTGCTTGAATCAAGAGTCCTTTTACTTGTCAATGTTTTCAAGAGTCTGGACTCTAGATCCAATGCGTTTTTTTCCCAGTGTTGTCTAAAACAGAAATTCGGCGAGGAAGTTAGGAATGGGACGATCGTATAAGAGTCCTTAGAATTTTTCTTGGAGAGGGCCGAGATGAAATTTCAATACAATGTGAACACGAGGAAGAAAATTTAAAAAAGGTGAGACGTAATTTTGACAGCACATACTTAACGTAAAAAGTGAAGGAGTGCGGCACTTACATTTATGTATTTTCATATCGGAGGAGTCCTTGATTGAGATTTCGTCTCCGTGCTCCCGCTTCCATGTGATAGTGGGTTTCGGGAAGCCCTTGGCCTTGCATGTAAGCCAGACGTTCCCGCCTTCGTTGACGTTCTGGTCGCTGGACGTGCCGTCGTCCACTATATCCGGCGGAACCACCACGTTCAGATACGCCATCTACAACAAAGCACGAGAGTCAGGAAAACCTCTACATGCTCCGGGTGAAGTATACAAATTTCATAAAAATCACTGATTAGCTGCCAAGAAAGAAATAAGTAAAACGTCCTTGAATCCTTTGAGATGCTACAATGCCTTCATAGTTTGAAGTAATCATTGTTGCAGTTTCACAATTAGCACAATAATTCGAAATTATTTTATGCTGAAAGTACAAAAAAAAATGCGTAATTTTTATGCAGAAACGGATGGAAAAACTGAGGTCTCCGATGGCTTCTTTTACGCTGTCTCGGTAAAAAATACGGACTTCGTGGTGCACATTTTTCTTACTTTTTCACAATCAGATAATATTTCTACTCTTGTTTTCTTCTATATTTTCCGATGGAAATTATCATATTTTAGTGATTTGATGATACACGCATATAACTACAATTGGAATGTTTTCTTTTCGATGGGTGTCTTGAATATATTACTGTATTTTGTCTTCTCTTTCTCTATTGAATTCCTCGCGGCTGCCTTCGCTTTGTACGAAGAGTATATTACGGTCGTCCTCGCACCTCGCCAATGTTGGCAGTCTCTAGTTTGCTGTCCGTAATCGACGGACGACACCGAGATCATAGTTTGTAACTGATGACTTAATGATACGCGTTTCATTTTCGAGTTGTAAAACTGTATGCCTCTATGTTAGGCTGTGACCGAGTGCGTCGCAAAGTTTGTTTTTGTTAAGAATTACAGTCATAGGTCAGCCCTCCGACAAAACCTGAAAAGTGAATTTCAAAGCGAATTGCGTGATATTTCTTGTTTTCTCAACAACAGTGTTTTATGAAGATGTAATTTTAACAATACTGCGTTGAGTGTCGAGTCTGCCTCCGCTCCGCGATGGAAGCAGTAGTTATTGAAAAAAGCAATAAGTAGACACGCCCTCCAGGAAGAAATTGAACGAAAAGTAAAATTTGGACACGATTTTTATCTCGAACGCAAATGGGAGTGCTTCATGGAGCCTTGAACTTGAAAATACTGCGTTGAGTGTTGAGATCGTCTTCACTCCGCGATGGTAGCAATAGTAATAAGAGGCGAAGGTTAAAAACTTCATACTAGAATTTTGAAGCGTACATCGTGATATTTCTCGTTTTCTCAATAAATACGTTACAAAAAGATGTGATTTTGACAATACCGCGTTGAGTGTTGAGCCTGCCTTTGCTCTGCGATGGAAGCAGTAGTTATTTAAAAGAAATAAAAACACAGTATTTTGGTCAGACTCTTAAACATTCCGAAAATGATAAGGTCTTTGTTTACTCTCTGGATTTTTTTGATCCCTTGTGATTATTCGTGTGAATAAAATGACCAGTGGCGTGGTGTGAACTGCGATGTATCGATTGTTATGCCATTTCAACCTATGGTAAAGAATCGATTATGAAGGTGTTCGCTGCGAACACCCTGTTGATCGATCTTTTTCCATAGGTTTAAATGGCATAAAAATCGATACATCGCAAAGCACGCCACGCCACTGAAAATGACCGTATAACTTACTCCAGATCGGACATTTTAATAATATGTACATAGATCGTCAGTCGCTTTACCCATTAACTCCTTCCACGCTCAAAAAATAATCAAGGCTTTTAAAGTGCTCTTCCTCTGAGACGTTGTTTAGAAGCTGAGTTCTCCTTCCATAAAAATGTATTTAAACTCACTAAACATTAAATATTTTATCAGAGAAATACTCATTGAGGATATCCCTGTGTCAAGTATCGTACTACTGCAAGGCAGTGGTCCGCTGTAGAAATCAGATGGTAAAAACAGAGAACTTAAAAATTCAAACACATAAATAGGAGGAGTAGTCATGAGACCTTAGCGGATAAAACATAGATGGCTACAACAGGAGGAGTTGATACGCGGGCAAAACAAGGGTCTCGAATCAAGGGTTGGGAACCACTGCGTTAAAGTGTTTTGCTTCAATCGAAGACGAAACATCGCGAAAACACTTGATGTCCAACAATACGCTCCGAAACTTGAAAAGACGCATTTCGCAAAAAAGGTAGGAGCTAACGAACGATTCGCGTTAAACCTGGAATCTCCGATGCACGATACCACTCGGACGTATATATGCTAAAAGGAATTAAGTGTATAGGGTTAGCGAGCGACATAGTTCCTTTTAGCGGATAAACGTCCAGAAGTAGAAGAGAGCAGGGGGTACAATTCATACAAATCCCGTAAGGTCCTCCGTCTGCCGTTGCTTTCACGACAGCTCTCCACGAAGGAACTCAACTTCCGCGTTGGTCCATTTATTCGTGGCATCTATCTTTTTTCTTAGGCACTAGCGGCTCTATTACCGCGACGCAGCCGGCGCTACAAAATTTACGACACCCCACGTTGTCGTCCCGGTGAAATTTAACAAGAGTGGAGGGGTGCCGAACCACACTCGAACATGAAAGAATTTAAACCTGGACAGCGTCTCGAGCATTTCAGGTCCTCGGTGATAAAGCAGATCCAATGGTCAAGAACTGCTGCAGCTTGAACCTTTTTCGGAACGAAAACTTATTTTTAAAGTGAGCCGGATTCTAGAGGTGACCTAGATTGTCGCCACGATGGTGTGTGACACATTTAATCACTGCCTGCACTTCCCGAACAGCTCATTAATGGAGGGCCGGAGTATGTGCGTGAAAGGAGTCAACAGCAGGAAAACATTCTTTATCAATCTCCACCCGTCTTTAAAAGGGGCTCGACATTTTTATATTATTTTTCTTGGATGGAACACGTGGCCCTCCTTCTGCTTGTATGTGTCGTAGGCAAATAATGAAATTGAGCATTTTATTAATTGCCTAGGCAAATTGTCAAATATTCTTACTTAATTAGAAATTCTGATTCTATTCTGATTATACTTTTAGACAAAGCAATTCATTGCTCAAGTAAGAAAAAGATCTCTGTGAGCATGTGTGGTACAGAATAGTATTTTAAACGTATTTTTACTCCTGCACGAAAATTTACGTTAAAATTTTTAATTTGTCGCTTGGCTGACGTAAGGGCGTCACATTGAGCTGAGCCCGAAAGAGCACTGAAATGTATGGAAGACAGGGTTCCTTGCAGAGTGTAATTACGCCCGTATGTCAGGTAGGCGGCGAATTGTCGCTGAAGCCGAAAACGTCCCTAAGTTTCCCCCAATTCCCACCAATTCGTCGAGGAATCGAGATTTTTCAAAAAACATGAAAGACTTTCCAAAGAAAACTTGAAACTTTCGGAAAATGGGAGGTTAAGAAGAGCGGGCTCAGCGCCAAAAATGAGAGCGGAATAAGCAAAAAACGTGTAGAGACCCGAGAATTAACGCGGAACGAAATACACATAAAAATCAGAGAAAATTCACTCAAACCCGTTCAGCTGCGTTAAGTATTGCTCGATAGCCCCACTGTAACGCTGATGACGCAGGAGGAGCGCGTGCAAACCACCCGCCCTTTGTAACTTTACTATTTACTTAACTTTGCTTTACTTTTACTTCAATAAATATAACATTTATGGTCCCTTAATAACGTTTCGCTGGCAAAGACACTGTTCAACCCCTTGTTTAATGTTACATGATGTGCAATGTGCAGATGACTCCCGACGGGATCGCACATACTATACCAGGTTACCTTGAGTAACATGCGTTGAGGACGGTTAGACACGATTCTACTTGCACTTGGGTTTGATATCCTCAACACTGAGAAAAAACTATGGTTTATAAACCTATTAGAGGTAAATATGGAACACCTATAATAGTCGTAAATAAACTAATGATTCTCGGTCTGTGAACCATACTAAGGTCTCTGTACCTAATTAAGGTACAGAGACCATAACTAAGGTATATGTGCTATTATTATATGTAGAGGTACTACTATTAGTGGTGTTCCATATTTACCTCTAATAGGTTTATAAGCCATAGTTTTTTCTCAGTGAAGGATAGGGATTGGATAAAATGCACACTTAATGACTCTCTTCAAATATTCTGAGTCTAGAGTCACACTGATTTTACCATATTTGTCAAAAACAACAAGATTAAACCATTCAACGTCTTCAGTGTCTGGCAAAATGACGTATAAAACATTACCAACTCCATTCAAGGCGAATCGAACAGAAGACTTCTGATCTTTTACGTTCCGAAGCCATTTAACAACAAAGAATAAACACCAACAGAAAAAAGGACAAGAGGAGCTGAAGAAAACCGGCACGTATCATCGTGAGGCGGAAGGAAAATGATGGGGAGGGGGAAGAGGCAGGCCGAAAGACAAACAAACTAAACGAGGCATGCAGCGCCGCGGCATAGGCGACAGACAGTGCTGAAATTGTGGCAATATAATTACGGGCTGAACTCCGCAAGGCTCAACCCTATTGCTAGCCAGAATTAAGTTACGGCTGGATGACACATGTAGTGCAATACTGCCGTGCTAAGGAAAAACGCCGTATGAACATTCGAGAGTTGCCAAATTTCCTTCGATAAAATGTTTATTTTTGAGGAAAGTTATGAATATTTTTCCTTCAAGTTTTCAGAATCTTTAGGTGAAATTGGGAACAAAATTATCTGAAAAATTGGGAGGAAAATAATAAGTTTACCCCGAAAGTCGCGTTTTATCAAAGGAAATTTGGCAACGCCTGAAGGCTCATACGGCGTTTTTCCTTAGCACGGCAGAATAGGAGAGATTTCTACCACCGTTGCCACTTGCTCGGAACTTCAGCAGACGCACGCCGCACAGTGAATCGAGTCAATCAGAGAGGTGGGACATGACATTTTTTACTCGACCTGCAAATATTGATGGTTAATTCGTCACATTTGACAATTTGTGGAGGTGCTTCTGAAAGAAAATTTCACGAGGAAACCAGTGGAACCACTTTTAAAATCTCAAAGTTTAGTGTGGACGGAGTTATACGCTTTTAAAGTTTCCAAAACTTGTCAAATTCCTCTCCTGTTAACTCGATCCACTGTGCGCCGCAAGAGCATTCCTCGGCTTTGCCACGATGCGCGATTTTTAGTGTTGGACGGTCAATATTTTCCAAATTTTAAGAACGGAGGGGATTGATGAGGAGATATCTAGATAACCCCTTTAAATTGGACTACATTTGGCAATTAGGAGCTACAATTTCTGGCTGATCCGTGAAAACACTTGTGTGCATAGGGTAACGAGTAGTGCAAACGTTTTTTCAAAACTGAGCCAGAACTTGTAATTCCTAATTGCAATATTGAGTCCAATTATCTAGTCCAGTTAATGTTATGAGGTTTTTGTTCCAAACGTGTATGCTGTTTCTCGAAAGAAATCGAGTTCCCTCGAGGTCCTCGAGCATGTTTTCACTGAGAAATATGACACAACCATTGACGTATCCTCTACAAACAGGGACCGACAAAAGCCAACAAACCAAAACGAGTCACCAGTTCACAGCATGCAAAATTATTATCGAAGGTATGCTAAAAAATCCAAATGGACGAATAAACGCACCTAAATTCGGAAGCGATAACTGGCTCTCCACGCAGCGTGGGTAATTAGAGTCATTGAACTGACTAGGATTCATCTATCATTTCTGCCTCCGGTTTACGAGCGATGAACATGTAAATCATTCTAGTATCGGTATGAATTTTCAGTAAAGCGGATGGGAGGGACGAAAACCGTTGTAAGAGGGGTGGAGTTACGAGAGGTTCCTCCGGATGGAACTATCTGCTTTCTGCTCTCCAGGTCACATGACGATTTAAGGAAAGCACTGTTGAGACGTGAGGAGGAGGGAAATCATTTTCCCCATACGAGTGGACCAGTCCCAATCGTTGCTGTAAATATAGAGTGAAATTCTCTGGAAGAGTTCAAACAGCTATACGTGCAGTTCTTTTTCAGCAGCTCCTTAAAGTTGTCAGATTGACCGGAAAATTCTCCATCAAATTTGGAGGCGGGGCGTGAAGAGGAGGAAAATCAATTTTCCAGTACAATACAGGTTAAGGAAGCATAGTTTTACAATGTGACGTATGCAATTATGCTCCCATTAAGTCGAAAAGCCTTCAGCAATAAAATATACAGGCTTATTCAAAAGTCACGCACCACTGGTCATGAAGGGGGTGGCCATTTGAAATTTTTGAGCTGCCCCTCGCCCCCCTCCCCCTGAGGGAGTCCAAAACTGGAAAGTATCGAAAAAAGTTTCCCCTTCGATATGAGGAAAAAGTCTTAAACTCCTTAAACCGCAAGTCTATATCTTAATTAGAACTAAAGTTATGGCCAGTGGTGCGTGACTTTTGAATAACCCTGTATAAAATTTACATAGCTTTGGTTCATCCATTCAATCGACATGACATCCATGATAGACGGATAGGTAAGTTAATGCTAGCACTCGATTACCACCTTAATGGTCTGTTATGTGCTGCAAATCTTGGTGGCGTTCCGTTCTATCAAGCTCGTCCGTCGAAAACAGGGCATCCCTTGATTCGGCTCCGCGATCCCCGTCCCTCCGGTGTCGTTTAAAAATCCCCGGACGTGGGAGCGTGCGGTCATTCGACTGTCTGCTCGCCGGCCAGCACCGAGAGAGTGGCGCCTGTCCTTTCCGCTTAATGGAGGACCAGTCTTGCGGAACTTGGCTCGGCTTCATGTTGCCGCGTTTTCCATCCAAGCTACCTATGTCTATACTCGGAGAATGAATTTACCCTGACGCCCTGGACACAGCATCAAATTTCGAAACAAGTCCCGATCAAAGTAATGGAGATGTTGCATGTGTGAGGAATTTGCGATTTGACTGCTGTCTCTTATGTATAAGTTCGGGAGAAACACGATGGTGCCACTGGTTTTCTCTGAAATCAACTCCTAAGCGCCAAAAAAAGCTCTCAAAGTGAGGCCAAAATGGAGGGGATATCCCGCCCTACCCTGAGAGTCCACCTCTACATCAAAACAAACTCTCCATGCAAAGATAGGGAGCAAATACATTGACAGGGTTGCCGTGATTTCAGTTTTAGGGTCCCCAAAGAAAGTTGCAGCCCTGTCAATGTATTTGCTCCCTATCTTTGCATGGAGAGTTTGTTTTGAAGTAGAGGTGGACTCTCAGGGTAGGGCGGGATATCCCCTCCATTTTGGCCTCACTTTGAGAGCTTTTTTTGAGCTTGGGAGATGATTTCAGTGAAAACCAGTGGCACCATCGTGTTCCTCGCGAACTTATACATGAGAAACAACAGTCAAATCGCAAATCCCTTACACATGCAACAACTCCATTTGAGGACTGTTGGACGCGCCGTCCAATATTGATGCAGGTAGGTCCACCAATCATATTCTCCTTGATGGTCGACATCATGGTCAAACATCTTAAAACGAATTCTGATACACCGCCCGAGTCAAACGGTGGGCAGCCAGTTCTGGGCCTGGAGCCAGAAAAACAAATTGCGGACGGACTCATCGTGTGTTCTGAGTGGGGTTACTCTCTTGATTGCTATGCCTTGCGCATTATTGTCAAGACTGTTTTGGACAAGAAAAAACTTTCGGTCTTGTTCCTATATTTTTTCTCCTAATTTATTACATTTGTTTAAGAATATGTGATACATTTTTTTTTTTTATTAAAACTTGCTATTGAGGTCGTTCTGTCCAAAATTTTGTTCTTTCGGTTTTTTATTTAAAATCCGCCACCATTGCTATTCACCCCAACGTCGAGCGAATGGGAACAATCATTGAAAATCAAAGAACGCGTTCCCATTCACCCCACCCCGGGGTGAATAGGAAAAGACCGGAAAAATTAAAAAAAACGGGGTGAAGGAGGAATTTTTAATGAAAAGCTACAATCTTTTGAAAATTGACAGTGCTAACCGAGCCTACAAATTATGCGTAAAAAAAATAAATAAATAAATAAATAATAGTAATAATTGTTGTGCCTTTGAGGATTACTATCTGTTAAATTTCAAGTCTGTTCCTAATCATCCCAATCCACGCGGTAAAGTATTCGTCTCGCAATTTCAAAAATAAGAAGTACCAACAATATCATCAACAGTAAGAATGACATTAACATGCGGCCACAAAATTGAGATTAACTCGCGTATTTGGAAAAGCCCGCTTACTGTTAGTTATATTTCTATCGTGTGACCGATCGTCAAATCGCCATCAAAATTGAGATTCTGTCCAAAAAATGGCCGCCACCATGATTGGAATTTGATCGCGTATCCAGGCTTTGACGCTTAGCGAATTTCCAGCTTAGAAATGACGAAAAAGCACACTTTTTTTACGTATATAGACGTGTGTTTAAAAGAAGATCAAATTTATAAGTGAGCCTAAACTAAGATTCGCATACGTAGAATTTAACGTACTTCGCATTAAATTCACAGAGTGAGGCTAAACAAAGGCATGAAAAGTCAATTTTCAGAAACTGATTTAAAAAAAAAAAACTTGGGCGTGGGGCAGAAGTGCTTAAGACGACAGAAGTAGATATTGCAGCCTTTGGTTCCAGGCCACGTTTATTCGGTATTATGAAGGGCAATTCCCTTACAGCAAAAAGTGGAGCGATATTCGGTGACAGACAAGGTATTTCATATACACAGAAACCAACACGTCTACAATTCCAGAGGAAATAAGGGTTCCGTGTTTTGGTTTTAAAGTTGAGGAGTCGGATAGTTATTCGATGGCGATGATCGCATACAACTTAAATGCCACTGAAAAAAAAAGTTCTGTTCACAGGGCTCCTACACTTCTTTTGTAACAGCCACAGAAGCTTCCGTTATGAGGACAGAGTTCTTCTGTTTCCACGACCGAAGTTCTGTTCTCACAACAGAGAAATTCTGTAAGTGTAAGAAAGAAACTGCAGGAGCCCTTTGAACAGAAGGTTCTGTCATCAGCACCATCTATTTTTTTCTGTGATCGCAACTTGATAATGCCTTACAAACATTTCTTGCCGGTCAAAAGTACAAGGGAACATACCTGGTCCTGCATAGGATCGGTGTTGATCTGGCACATGTAGAGGCCCCTGTCTCGTTCTTCAACTTCTTTGATGTGGAGACTCCATGTCTTGTTGTTCTGCTGCGAAACAGAGACGCGTGGATTCGGCGTGATCACGTGGTCGTGGATGGCTTGGATCTCTCGCGTGTTCACGTACACCCATCCGATCTGCCGAGCAAATATGAACCCACAGAAATCAGAGTTGATATTCTTCATTCATATCATGCTATACCGTGTTGAATTCCAATATACATTTTTTATGATTCAACAGACCTTTGAAACCACCGAAAAGAGTCACGGACAGTAAGTCTACGAATAAAAGGTCTACTCAAAAAATGTCTACATTTTTTGGTCTGCAGTCAAAATATCTACAATTAAGAAGACTACTTTCAGAATGCGCAAGAAAGTAAATGTCTGCATATACCGCGTCTATTAAAGGAAAATGAATACACGATGATTCTTAACCATAGATTCAACTAAAGCAGTAACTGGTGTGAGTTCACTCTACCTACTCCATTCAGAAGTGAACTCTCTGAGTATGGACTTTTTTTTAGAGGACATTATTATTTGTAGACATTTTTGTCGTGGACTTTTTAGTTCTAGACATTGTAAACGTAGACCAAAAAATGTAGACTTTCTGCTCGTGGACATTCTTGCTATAGACCTTATGCCTGCATACTACCGAACATCAAACAATGGTTACTACTTACCAGCAGGTCCAAACCACTAATTTGATGCTCTGGCAAGTGATTTTTGAGAAATTCTGGTAAGATACACAATTTTTTCCGGCGAAAAAAATGCATGTCCAAAGAAGCTAATACGCGACAAAATAGTATTCTTTTATTTAGTGTATCTTGCCTCCCGCTTTTCCATTGCTATGCACAAGTCACACCCCATTCCCGGAATTGCCCATTCCGCGGAAAAGACAAGCGGAGGTGCGACGGGAAAGGGCAACGAAAGAGGCCTTGATTTCGCCGACAGGACAAGAGAATTATTGAGGGACTTTTGAGGGACGTCATTTCTCCGGCAAAAATTGCGCTGCGGCCGGATGAATGCTGACCTCCCTCCTCGATCATGTTTGATAGGCAATCAGTGTCACAACCTGATTCAGTCCCGTTGAGAATTTTCTCACCTAGGCCAGGTGACCAAAACCAACCTATGTACAAGAGCTATAAAAAAAAATCAAAAGTGATTCGGTGTGCCACTGAAAATTGAGATTCTCGGCCCCTTTCCCTTAAGTTCCTGCTTGTTGGCACTAGCTGATGTGGTTTGGTTCCTTCCTGCTAGGCGCGGTCAAATTATGTGGAGCGATATGGGAGTAATTTTCAAATTGAATCTGCCACACCTGATGGTAATAACTATGCATCAGCTGCAAGGTATTCCCTGCACAAGTCTAAGAAGGTTATGTTTTGATCCACTTGTAAAATAAAGGCCGCATGTGAAGTTTATTATCATGATTATGAAGTGTTTCTGAATGGGAAGATAAAAATTCGGTAACTCATTTATTGATAACAGTTAAAAATTACTTTTTTCTGGAAATTTATGGGAAAGGCATTTCGATGTAGAATATGAATGAAAGGCTAAAAGACATTGTCGTGAATAAGATTGTGAACATCAATATTGAATGAACCAGTTACTCTCCTTTTAGGATACTATCCGCGAAGTTCACAATAATTAATTATTCATGCACAAATGACTGAGATCTCCAAGAATTCGATATAAAATCCAATTTAATTTTAAGTCATCAGAATAAATCTAAAAATAAACACAAATCCAGAGACAAAAATACTCTTCCTAAAATTAAACACATACGAATTTAAAAATTCTATCAAATTAAAAGAAGAAGATGCTTGATTGGGTTCCTCCTGGGAGGAGACGAAGGGGACGCCCGGTGAGAGGTTGGCGACAGGGAGTGGTACATGAGATGAGGGAACGTCAACTCCCTGATGGATAGTGGAAAGACCGAGTTTTGTGGCGTTTAGGCGTTGCAAAGCGCTAGAGAGCGCTCTAAAAGCGACTCATGTATGTATCAAATTAAAAAAAGTAGTGCTAATGATAAAACACCAGGAAAATTTAATCTGAACTCTTACATAAATACTACGATAATAGCTAGCAAAAGAGTTAGGGATTCTGTTAAAAACAGCAATAAAAAAAGACGAAATAAAGATATGAGGAAAATTTAACAACAGAAAGTGCTGTCGATGAAAACGATAAGAGATAAGAGAAGGAAAAAAAAGAAATGTTCAGGATAATCCTACTCTGTCAGTGTTGATTATCAAAACGATCGAAGTGTTGCTGTTGGGAAACATTGGCTGAGTCTTGATCAGCAGATCCTCAGGAACACATGCAAACCAATTTCGACCTTTTTCATTGATACCGATTTTCCGATTTTTTCGGCGCTGGATCGGCTGCTCTTCCCACTGTGGGCCGGCGCGGCGCGGCGTACTGCTAGCTCGAAACGTGCATTGGCGCCTGCAAACCTAACTGGATACTTCAAGCATTACGCAATGCGTGAAGTATCCCGTTAGGTTTGTAGGTGTCGGTGCGCGTTCCGAGCTGCCAGCCAGCACGCCACGAAGCTCCCGGCGCGCGCGGCGGGCGGGTGGTGAAGCATTTCTAGCGGGGAGAGCTCCCTGGCGGAGCAACTCGCTCATTTCACCTCAGCTCAGCTTGAGACGAGCATGCAAGGTTCGATGCTCAATGGTCCTAAAATTATCTGGAGACTAATTAAACTCCGAACCATGATTCTTGGATTTCCAGAACTCATTTTTTTGCTTAATAAGCGACCCATGCTCACTTAGAGGTTTAATAAATCAGCGACTTCTGTTAAATAAATAACTTCGTGTTAAAATAATTTTTGTTTCTTGTTTTGTTTTCATTATCTAACTTTTAAAATTACATTTAAAGAAGGGTAATAATGAAAAGCGGGTCGTGCGCCAAGAGCGCTGCGGACGGCAGCTCATGAAACTCTCCCTTCAGCTCTGTCGAGCTAGATTTTGGAAACCACAAAAATGAAGAATGCGGTGAGATTACCACCAACCCC